GAAGCTCCAAAAAAAGGCCCTGGCAGCCAGCCCTACCTTCTTCTCAAGAGTTGTGGCTATGGCCTACCACTGGGTAACTAAAACAAGCAAGAGGAGACCAAAAAAAGCATCTTTTAGAGACAGTCCCAGTCCCTTGCAGAGTGACCTATGGCGCTGTGTTGGGCAAGGCACTTCATCTCTGCATGCCTCCATGCAATGTGGATAGCAATGATTTATATCATGTTGGCGTGAGGGTTTCATCCACGAAGATTTGCAAAATGTTGAGTCAAACTGAACAAGCCAAAGCCACCAAGCTGCTCTCGCCATCAGATTCCTATTAAAAAATATCTCTGGGCAGTTTGTAAGCCACAAGCGACCAGAATGACCCCAGGTACGGTCATGGCCATAGAGTTTCAACGACTTTAAAAGCCTCTTTTTTCTCTGCAGATTTCTTGCACTTTAATTTTACCTGTCCCCAAAGAGTACACATTCCTTGAGCTTCCAAACGAAAATTTTAGCTATGCAAAGATTAAAAAAAGAAAAGTACAAAGCCTTTTCTTTTAATGGAATGAGTCTCGCATGGAAGTTGTGCAGTATTGTGCTGAGGGACATCAGCTATGCAGCATTGCCAACCACAGGCATTCAAAATTCATGAGTCAGACTCCCCCAAACCCTAAGACTGGTTTCGTTCCCTTCTGGATTTTGAGCCTTGAAGCATCACAACTTCAAGCTTTTCTCTTCAAAAAATGACATTTTTGACCAACGGGGCGGGAGCTGAGACCCTCACATCTCCACTGGGCTCCAGGAGTCGTGACTGTAAAAAAAAAAACATTAAACACCATGAAACGAGCAATAAACCCCTGCATTGCCCCCCTGCCCTGGATTTGGCAGTGGGACGGCCACCCCAGGACACCCTGAAGGGTACGAGCAATGGAAACCTGGTGACAAGAAAAGAGATGTCCTCACCATTAACGGTGACGTGCTTGTAATGGGCCACAACAGGGTGGAGGAGGAGGGAAGAGTGAAAAAAACCCTAAGGAGAAAAGAAGCAGGGATACCTGTGAGGAATATGCATAATGGGTTTATTCAACAGGGAGTCGGGAAGGGGGAATTTTTTTAAGGGCAAATATTCAGCTAAAGCTGCCTAAAATGGGGCCAGGCCTTATGGAGAATGGATATTTTAAGTGGCAATTTATTCCACTAATAAAAAAAGAAGGATGCAGGTGCTTTGGCAGGGCTGTGGACGGGAGCGGGCGAGAGCTGCGGTTGATCAGAGCCGGGTCTGCAGCACCGGCCGTGCAAGGGGCTCAGGCACAGCTGGTGGCTCTGCATTTATTGGGCTCCTGTTCCCTCATGCCAGGGCCCGTGTATGGATTTCAGCTATCCAGAAAGCACTACCCGCGCCGGTGTCTCATGCAACGGCTCTGATCACAGGCTGCGGTAGGTGATGAGAGGTATTTTAGCCAGATGCTACAGCCGTCCCTTCTCCAGCTGGGCAGGGAAGGGCTTGTGCCCAGGAGCTGCTCCACGCTTGCACCAGGTCCTTTCACACCAGGAGGTTTCTAGATCAACTTCCTGAGGCAGAGCAGCAAGAAGACAAGAAATTTTTACAAGCTGGACAGTGCCATGCACATCAAATTGCTCAGGGCTCCTTGGGGCTGACCGTGCTGCTCCAGAGC